TATAAATTCTGTTAGTTGTCTTACTGAACCCACATTCCATGGTAAACTAAACTGGTCATTTTTATATTTTAAAAAAACCAAGTTGCTTTGAATGTTAGTTCTTCTTTAGAAAAGAGCCAAAGAAGATTGTTTTTTTTAAAAAAATATCTGATTATTACTGTGAGATAGGTGCAAAAATGGAAAGATTCTGTAATACTCATAATGGAGGAAAGGTTGGTAATGACAGAAATAGAGCAGAAGTGGCAAAATTGAATTGTTTGATTAAAGATCATCAACTACATTTATCAATGCCTGGAAACCCAATATGAACTTTGTTTCTGAAAAGAAAGAAAAAAAAAGAATTTTCTTTTTTCACATTTTATTCTTTTTATTATCTTTATTTCCTTTCATGGTTTTTACTTTATTAAAAATATCTTCAATAAAAATTATTTAAAAAAGGAAAAGTACACACAGGCTTTTGCCAAGTTATGAATTATTCTATAAATGTTCAAAGAAGTCTCCTGCCAGTTTTGCAGGATATAAGATGTGAGGCTGACTAATCTGCTCTGCTTCTCTTTTCCTTTTATCTTTGGAGATAGGAGCATTTGTCTTCACCAATCTTCTGGCAGTTAAACCCATCCACTCTATCTTCTCAAAGATCACAGAATGGGTCTTTTGAGAGAACATATCCGCAACTTTTCAACACCCTTGGAGATAATTGATTAGGTCCTAGACATTTAGATAGGATGGTCAGTGTTAATGTGGTGTTGATAAAAGGCTGTTAGAGGAATAAAAAGATAGTTTAGACCTGCTGGGAAGTTTGACTTAATTGTGTTTCTTGTGTGCTGACTAACATTTACAAATGTTTGTATACATTAGCTCATTGGCTGGGGAGAGTATTCTGCTGAATTCTTATAGTACTGCAGAACTCTCCCAATCCTGAAGGAGCTCAGAATACTGTAGTTTATATAAAATTAGCCAGTCCTGGCTTTTATATAGCTAAGCTGGCAGGTCACGTGAAAATCTGGACTTCTTAGGATTCCTCAGAGCCCTTTGGGAAGTCTTGTCATCTTAATACAGAAATTGCTGCTAGGCATCATACTTCACGGGGTCATTTCACTTGATTTTAGATTATTGATGCCATCCCAACACTTCTGTAAAAACACTGGGCCAGCTGGCAAGGCCTTGATGAGTTGGTGTCTCCAAAGCCTGGCTGTCTAATGAAGTGTGTGTGTGTGTGTGTGCATGCGCGCGCACTTAACATGTGTATGCTTGCTTGTGCTTGCAATCTTGGAACAAAACATTTCTATGAAGAGTTGTCCTTGGACACAAATTGATGTAGTCACTTGGTGTTGGTTCTTGATTTGACCAAACTAGTCCTACAGCGTTGCACATCTGCTTGCTTTTGAATAGCAGATGTGTGTCTGATGAGCGTAGAATTCTGAGGTATTTTGATTTGTAGGAAAAATCTTTGTAAGATGAATTTAAAAGCTGAAAGAAACTGTGAGGTGATGAAGTTTATTAGGCAGTTTGTTTCATCTGTTTTCTGTGATAGGCTTGAGTATCTAACAATTTGATCTTTCTTATAGAGATTTACTTCATTTCCAATTTTAATTATTTTGTGAATCCATTTTGAATGCTGCAAAGTAGAAAAGCAATGTAAAATATTTTAATTGAAATCAACCATAAATAACTACTACCATAGAAACTCCTCGACTTACAAGCATGTATTCAGGGTCTGTTCAAAATTACCACAGTGCTGAATGAAGAAATTTATGATGCCTACTTGAACTTTCAAATGTTGTAGCACCCCAGCAGTTACACGATGAATATTTGGGCATTTGAAAGCGTGCCCACCCTTACAACCAGTGGAGTATTGCATTTTGCCCTACAATGGGTCAGGGGGCATCAACTGACTAGGTCTACTAACATGTGGGTCTTCTCACCTGCTCCACCGCTCTTGAGAAGCCTGGGCTTTCTCCCTCTCCCACCACACCTGAGTCCATTTCCCTTTACCTGCAGCTGCTGACAGGCCTGTCCAGGCAATGCAAGGGGCATGAAAACTAGCAAAGGCAATCTTCCTCACGGCTAGAGAGGCAACATTTATCAAGGCCAGAAAGAACCTCTCTAGCCTTGAAGAAGATAGCCTTTGCTGGCTTTCTGTCCAGCAAAGTTCTTTTTCTGGCCAGCCTTGAGAGTAATGCAGCAAGGAGGACAACCTGGCATCTTGGGTGTGGTAGGTCAGGGAGAAGGCGCCCACAGTAGTCAGCATAGCCAGCCGAGGCTTCCTGACCCATAGCAGGTTTCTGTATGCTGGTGAGGGCCAGACCTCCCAAGACCTCCCCCACCTCCTTAAACATTAAGGGTTGCTTAATACCTCAATGGGGAGAACTGAAATTGTGATTGTTGAGTGAGGCATTCATATGGGCATCTCTCTTAATGACCAAAATTCCAGGGTCAGTTGTCATAAGTTGTATAAATAAAACAAAAGATTGTTAACTAGTTAGATTTTAATTTTGTGAAAGAGAAATTCTTAAATGTGAGCAGTTATGAGATTCCTGGCTTCATTTATTTGCTATAGATAGTTTCTTAGCTTGGCAGATTTTATAGCAAGAAACATTGAATGGTGATCAGATTAGTTCTTTCTTCTAATGAAGACTGAAATCAGTTTTACCAATAAAACCATACTCAGTCTATAAATGCATATTTAAAGCAGTTGTGGTATCTTGAAGGAATGAAAATTAACATTTCCCACACAAAACTTAATAGCCTCAAAGCAAATTTTCCTCTAATTTTTTTAGAAGTCTGTTAAAAATTATTGTGTTACAGTTGGCCATTAGAATGGAGATAGCTGAATAAGTAAAATGGGGTATTTCTCTTAAACAGGATTGGTCTCTGCTTTGCAAACTTGATTTGAGTCTCTACTTTGAAGGCACAGGACATCTGTTTCTGATTAGATTTTCTTAATTTTGTATACTTTGGCATCTTTGGGAATTGAGGCATAAAGTATGATCTTATTTTCCTTTACTGTTTCTATTGCTGCACTTCCTTTTCTTTCTAGTATTTTCCAACAACTAGTACTTATTAAATAGTTTATGTATTTACAATTTAAAGATTTCATACTAGTATTTAACCCAAAGGTACTTTTTCTGTTTTGTTTTTTCTTTGAAGACGTTTCGCTTCTTGGATGAGAAGCGAAACATCTTCAAAGAAAAATCAGAAAATCCAGTTGCCTCTTGAAAAAGCACCTTTAGGACAACCATGACCTGAATGACTGAGAATCTTCATAGTACAGTATTTAACTTATTCACCATGAATTAATTTTATGATTTATGAATTTGAAAACCTAAGAGTAAAATCTAATTTAACAGACCTTTACTGGAGAAAGAATCTGTTATTCCATAGAGGACAGTAAGTTTAAGCAATATCATTGTGGCATCACAGATATTACATATTGTATCATTTGTATGATTATTTCATTCCCAAAATAAATGCATTGGTGCACATTCTGTTATCAAACAAATAACACCCAAGAGGTTTGCTTATATCATGATGATGATATTCTAGAGTTCCTCATTTCCTTTTGTTTGAGTTTATGGTAGTAACTCTTTTGGAATTTTTATAAATCTTAATGGCATGAATTTAAAGCAACTCTGATGACAAAATAACACTATATCAGTGTGAAAAATCTGTTAATTCTATGCAATAAGAAATGGTTAGTTACAGTAGTTGTCGATGCTTCAGATCCTTCAACCGTTCCAAGTTAGGCTGTGCCCCACCCCCAATGTGCCAACGTTCCAGTTCCAACTGGGCACTTAGCAACTGGCCAACATTTTGGCAGTATCCTGAAGTCACATGACTGTGCTTTACAACATTTTTGCCAAAAACTTCTGGTTTTTGGAAAAAACACCTAAACAACTAGTTCGCTTAACCACTGCAGCACTCAGGTTACAACTACTGCATTCATTTAACAACCACTGCAGAAAGGGGTTTTAAAAGTAGATCAGTCACAAGTTTCGATGGTTACAATTTAAACTCCTAATGGGCAAGCTCCATTATGGTCTTAAGGTGAGGACTAGCTGTATACATGTTTCCTTATTCATTAAGCGATCTTCTAAAGAGTATTTTTACACCAAAGGCTAAGAATGGAATTGCTCTGAGTACACCTTACTGGCACGTCACAGGCATGATTTCCCAATCCACGTCACATATGCTAGTAGCCAGCTCAAAATGAAACACAGAAAAGTCCAGGAAGACTTGAATGTACTCAGAGGGCATCAGGGGAGACATGAAAGTCCTGAAATTAGGGGTGGCAGGTTGGAATGCTGAGCATTCTTTATGTCCCACTCTATTGATAACATCAGAAGCAATGTGTGTGATTTTAATAGGCCAGCGATGGCGAACCTTTTTTGGCTCGCATGCCATAAGTGGGGGGAGCGCAGGGAGGGGGTCGTGTGCGGGCGTGCCGCACCCATAATGTAATGCATGCACGCATTACAGGCGCTCCCCACCCCCGTTTTTTGCATGATTTTTTTCTCCTTCCCCAGGCTCCAGAGGCTTTATAGGCGCCTGGGGGGGTGAAAACAGCCCCCCGCGCCCCCCGGAAGCCCTCTGGAGGCTTCAGGGACCTTCAGGAGGCTTCCCTGAAGCCTTCAGAGCAGTCAAAATGACCCTCCGAGCAAACCAGAAGTCCATTCCTGAACTTCCAGTTTGCCCATAGGGCCGTTTTTTTGCGCTCCGGAGGCTTCAGGGAAGCTCATGAAGCCTCCGGAGGGCCTCCGGGGGGGGGGAGGCTCTTTTCACCCTCCCCAGGCTCCTATAAAGCCTCTGGAGCCTAGGGAGGGCGAAAAATGGCTTTTAAAAAGGGTGAACTCAGCTTGCGTGCCCTGACAAATGGCTCTGCGTGCCACCTGTGGCACACGTGCCATAGGTTTGCCATCACTGCCCTAGACATTTCACTGCAGCATTGTTGCTCTTTCTAGAACTCCTAAATTTATCTGAGATTTTTTTTTTTATTGCAGGTGGCAAATTCGGAATGACAGCCATATGACTGGCAGGCTCATCCGTTGGTGGCACTACTTCGTTTTCTGGAGAGCCTATCCTTTCCTTACAAGTGCATGTAGCCTCCTTGGTTCCTAGGACTCTTCTCGTCCAGCAGAGAAACAAAAGGGAGGAAGTGCTCAAGGGAGCAATGGGAATTGAAGGCCATGGTCACTTGAGATAAATGGCAGATCACTGGGGATCTAGTCTTGCAGCTGCTCACTTCGGCCTGTTTCCTCTCTGCAGCCTACATTTGTTTTCTTTGAGCTGCCACTGGCTCTTCTGGTGGTGGCACTGGAGACATCAAGGCAGCTTGATAGGTGCCAAACGTGAGAAAAGGTTAAGCCGCCCACCTCATCATGATTCAGCTGTGGAAAGTGGTGAGGAATGTGCGACAGTTGGAGCTCCACAGACTGATCCTGCTGCTTATTGCCTTCAGTCTGGTCTCCATGTGCTTCCTGGCTTACTATGTCACTAACAGTCCCAAAATCAAGGAACCTCCCCCGCTTCCCTTCAGCGATTGCAGTAACCAACACAGGATCCTCATCCAACCCCAGGCAAGCTGGAGGCTTACAAAATCAGTTGACAATTCACACACAGACCCTGTGGTGCTAGTTTTTGTGGAAAGCATTTATTCCCAATTGGGTCAAGAGATTGTGGCCATCTTAGAATCTAGTCGGTTTAAATACAGGACAGAGATTGCTCCTGGAAAAGGAGACATGCCCACCCTAATGGACAAGGACCATGGTCGCTATGCTCTGATTATCTATGAGAATATCCTTAAATATGTGAACCTGGATACCTGGAACAGGGACCTTTTGGACAAATACTGTGTAGAATATGGAGTAGGAATCATCGGTTTCTTCAAGGCAAACGAGAACAGCTTACTTAGTGCTCAGCTCAAAGGCTTTCCTCTCTTCCTACATTCCAATTTGGGATTGCGTGATTATCACATCAATCCTAGTGCCCCACTTCTGTATGTTACCCAGGCTAATGAAGTGGAGCAGGGCCCTCTGCCTGGGGACGACTGGACAGTGTTCCAGTCAAATCACACAACCTATGAACCCGTATTGATGGCCAGCACCAAATCGTCTGAGTCAATCCCTCACCTGACTACGCACAGAGCTCTGCATGCCACAGTGGTTCAGGATCTTGGTCTCCATGATGGTATCCAGAGGGTACTTTTTGGTAATAATCTCAATTTCTGGTTGCACAAGCTCATCTTTGTTGATGCTATTGCTTACCTGACTGGCAAGCGTCTCTGTCTGACCCTTGACCGCTACATCCTTGTGGACATTGATGATATCTTTGTGGGCAAAGAAGGGACACGCATGAAGGTGTCTGATGTAGAGGTAATGTGGAACAGAGTGGATGGGAACATAAAGTGAACAAGTGTCATAACTCCAAGTATCTTTACTAATAAATTCAAAAATGTAGAGATTCTCACTTTTTCTGTTAAACATATGAGAATTGCAAGGTGTTTTTTTTTTTTTGTAAAATACTAATTCTTTGTGAAATAGCTTTTTTCCTTCTCTAAATTCCGAGATCATCAATTTTGGGGGAAATGAAAGATCAAGTGTCTTTTGTTTTAAAACTGTCACCCCTAATCTGACGTTGAAGAAGAGATCACGAGATTTGCTATCACAACAGTCTGCATTTATCTTTTGTACCAATGATGTGTGTGGGTTTGCTAAATTCTGGCTTTGTTGCATTACAAATTCAAACTTAACAATCCTCAGGAGGAAAGTAGAGCTAAGCTGACAGCGGACATTTTTAACAATGGCTAATTCAGCATGCATTTGGTAAGAGATGGCAGTGTGGATGACATTTATTGCCCATTTTCCAAACTCTAGAGAAGTCATAGGTTTAGGCGTCTTTTTGAGTACAGTAAGTATAAAATCATAATAAATTTGCCAGGAGAATGAGCCCACTGGATTTTTCTATTTAAATCAATATATGGCATGAGGTTCAAAGAAAGTTATCTAAATCTCAGTAGACTATGAGGTTAAAGATTTCACAGTAGCTTGAAAACATTATTCCTCTGATAGATTGCATGATCTATTTTATGTTTACATAGCAGCATATTTTGAAGTTCATTTAAAGTGAGAAGTTCAAGCCCTTTTAAATACTGCTTGTGGTGCACTTTTAAGAGTTTGTTTTGTAATCACATAAGAGGTTAGCCTGTTTCAATGACTGCTTTTAAAATAGTAATAATTGTAATGCAGCTTCCCATAAAAATGGGTTTCTGTTGAAAAAGATAGGAATATAATAATCTGGCTATCTTTTCCTGATGAATAATACAAGAGCCCATAAACAGGATAGTCGTCAATCTGGCTAGTTGTGTTTGTGTGTTTGGTTTGATTTTAAACCCTTGCTAAAGTTACAGAAGGGTCAACTTTGCTTTATCCCTCTGCTCAGGAGAAGCAATTAAATGAAAGAAGTGTAGGGTACGTCTTCCAAGTAGTTAGAAGATGGTGCACTCAGTGGAGCAGGGTTTCATTTTTAATAGTGACGTTGCACTGTGTTTTAGAGAAGAAGAGTGGCTTTATGCCGTTTTCTCTTTCCCAAAAGTTTGGTACAGTAGGAAGAGCAAGACTTCATCTTTCTTATAAAACTGTGGTGTGATCTCAGCTTGTGGTCCTGTGCCCAAGAATGGGGAAGTTGGCACAACAAATGAATGTAGTTAGATAGGCAGAACCTGTAATGTCCTGGTGCAAAGGTGGTGAGAACTTGCCAGACTTTATCCAAAGAGCATAAGCTCAAATTAGAAATCCTGCTGATTTCATTTCTAATTCCCAGCCTCTTTTAAGGGATGGTCGTCGAGCAATTGTTTTTGTTTTTATCGCACATTTCTATGACTCTTTATTCCAAATTGTTGCAAGATGGGATCCCAGCCAAGGATGAAACCTAGAGCTTCACTGGTAGTGCTGTGTGGAATTATAAAAGTTAACCTCTCTTTGCAAAGCTTCTCTGGTGATTACAGAAAGACTCAGATGAGATCATTCTAAAACATACTTTGTTTACCAGTTTAGCAGTGTGAAATGGAACATTAATCTGACATTAGTTGAACGGATTTGATGCTAAGAAGATAATACTTACTTTTATGCATTTAAAAAAGAATCTTTGCCAAGGGGGAAAGATTAACTTCTTTTTTCAAAACAAAAAACAATAGGTAATCTTGCAAGTTTGTTGACTTCTTAAATGAGAGGTGCAGTGAAGGAACATTTTCCAATGTCAAACAGTTGGCATGTTTTTCACAAATTAATTCCAGAATGTAAGTATATGAACTCCTTGTCAAATCTAGTTTCAGTGTGACACATCTAGCTGCTTGTTTCCACATCATCATCGTTAAAATATTTTTTTTAAATGCATATTTTCTGGTGTACATTGAGCAGCAAGTTGGAAGAATATACATACACAATATGCTTATATTGTTTTTGTCTTTTTATTATCTGACATTTGAAAAAATTGGGAGTGAAAAAATGAAAAAAAGGAAACTGATGCGAAATGGAAATTTGCAGAGTGAAATCCCCCATTTTCTCCATAGTGAGGGGAGGAGTATCCAGGATGGGTTGACCTTATCCTCTTGTTGATTGGACTGAGTCAGATAAGCTCTTGGTATATGCCCCTGGTCCACCAAGCACCGCCCAGTTATCGACTCAGTCCTTCAACTGGACGGTTTGCCATCCTGGATCTCCGATAATTTTGAGGAATTTTAAAGGAAGAAGAGGATATTCATCTCTCTAGAGCAGCAACCGCAAGCGAGCTGGACAGCTCCCCGAGCTGCCCAGGCATCTGAGTGAGACAAGTATCACTCAGAACAGGAAATCTGCCGGGCGAACAGAAAACAAAGGGCACAAAATAAGTCTTGGAAGAGTAAATAAAATTAAACTATATGATGAGCAAATTAGATATAATTGGCCTTACAAAAATATAAAGATCTTTGCTTTCATTCAATCCATATATGTTCTTAAAAAAGAATAAAAACAGGTTATCATTTTCAGAAATAAAATAGTTTATATAATTATAGGAACAAATGTATTTGCATAATAAAATTTAAAAAGAAGTATGGAGCATTGCCTAGAAGTAATATACTTTCCTGCTGTGACAAAGAAGTTAGAAGCATCTCATAAATGTTGCTTAGGAAAGTTACACCAGTCAAACTAAATCAATTATAAATGTGGATTTGTTTTCAATATTCTAAAGTGTCAGAACAATATCTGCAAATAATGTTTGGAAACCTTCTATTTCTGCCTTTTATGGATGGTGATTGATTATCAAGCTTGTGGATATTTTGAGATCTGATCTTGAGGAGCATATTAAATCAGGAAACACCCTGTAAAGAGCAGACATTTGGGGAATGCTCTTGAACCTAATTGGGTGGAGAGGTGCTCTCAGGAGGACTGGTGCAGTTTCCTGGTAAATGGGAATTCTTTGAATTTATCAACTGACACGTGTGTTGTTATAGTAACCCAAGTTAGGCTTCACTAAGTTGCTTTGCATGATCTTCCTCTCAGAAGATCACCTTCCCAGGTGCTTTGGAATGTCAGGACTCAGTAACACAGAATGCAGATGCCAAGTACCAAAAGGGATTTTAGTCAAATGAGGTTGCTTAGAAACTATATGTATAGGCACTATATATGCTAAATATGAAATAGCGTTTTAAAGAATGAGACAATTACCCACCCTTAAACAAACAGCACACAAGCAGAAAAGGTATCCAGAATGATTGTGGAGACAATTGAACTGGAGTGACAAATGCTCAGAATGTCTAGACCGGGAAAGATGCCACAAGTCCAGAAAATGCCAGCACAGTTAGAGATCAAAGAAATATCTCCTCAAAACCCAGACCCAGAAGAAGGCAGATTCAGCTGGGGCTGGGTCTTTTGGACTTATTCAACTTCCAGTTTATGCAGTTGGTAAAAGTCATGAAAGAAGAAACTGTTGAGAAGGGTATGGATTCCTATCATCATGTGAGTTGATTAAGGAACTGGTTCGAATGGTTTCTCTCAGCTTTTCTCTCTTCTTTTCTTGCAAGGCTCTTTTAAACACTCAGAACAAGTTGAGGGCGCTGGTTCCCAATTTCACTTTCAATCTGGGATTCTCTGGGAAATTCTACCACACTGGTAAGATTTTTTTTTTCATTCTATCTGAACCTATTCCATTTCTTAGGAGCAAATTTGTATTGGATTCACATTTAATCATAGTTTGCTTAATCATACTCCTCTGAGTTGGCCAGATTCAGGCAATCTTGAATGGGAGCTGCCCTGAGTTTGGTATAAGATGGGCAGCTATATTCATGCTTTAAGTTAATAAATAAATAAGCCTGCTGATTCAAAAGAAAGCCAAATTCCTGCATAGTGAAAAATAACAAACAAAGAAATAACTGGTACAGTTAGGATATTTACCCAAGATTTCTTTTATCAGTCAGCTCCTTGCTTCTATTTATAGGTTTCTTAACTAAATGTGCTTGGCACTGACTCAGGGAGCCAAGTTTTTGAGTCTAATGGTTTTGGACAAATGGTCAGAGGCTTAATCTGCTGTGACACCAGCAGAAGGTTTTCTCTCTTTGAGGTGAAAGGAGCTTCCTGTCTCAGTGAAGACCTCATTAGGAGACAAAAACAAATGGCTGGTGGATTTTATTCTTCAAATCTGTTGTGCAGTAGTGTAAATGATGTTTTGTCTTGTTGGCCTTTTAGTATCTTTGCTCAATAATGATCCAGCAACCCTAGCTCAGTCCTTTTTCCATGGGCTTCCAGGTACAGATGAGGAAGATGAAGGAGATGATATGCTCTTGAAGAACAGGAAGGAATTCTGGTGGTTTCCTCATATGTGGAGTCACATGCAGCCACATCTCTTTCACAATGTTACTGTCTTGGCAGAGCAAATGAAACTCAACAAGCAGTTTGCTTTGGTAAGGGACAACTTTTTGGAATGTTTCAATCTGCTACAAGTTTACTATATGACCACTGCTGAGTTCTATGATAAGGATGTAAAGATAATACCACAGATTGCAGTAGGAGAGAATTTGCAGAAAGTGTTTAAAAAACAGGTGCCATCTGTGACATAGACATCAGAACTCTGTCAGAAAATACGAAATTTCTTGCAATTCCTAAGTGTTGTGTTCTTCCTAATTCCTGCTTCACACTTTCCAGTTCATTAATATTTCACATCTGACCTGGAACTTGTACCCTCTCTCATATCTTCTGTATGTTAGAGAAATTAAACATGTAACTGATTTGTATTGATCTGTCCATCCTATCTGTCCATTCTACTTAATGACTTTATGGCAAGCAAACAAGTTTTGCTTTGTTAACTATATATCCTTGTTCCACCATAGCCAGCTGCCCTTCTCTTCCCTGTTGCTAAATTGCTAACAATGAAGTGAATGTAAAACTCTTAAACATTTGTTTACATCCCAGGAACATGGAATTCCTACAGACATGGGCTATGCAGTAGCCCCCCACCACTCAGGGGTTTATCCAGTTCATGCCCAACTCTATGAAGCATGGAAAAGTGTCTGGGACATTGGGGTGACCAGCACAGAGGAATATCCTCATCTTCGACCTGCCCGATATCGCCGAGGGTTCATCCATAACGGAATCATGGTAAGAAGATGCTGAGCCCTATTAACTGCCTAGAGGAGAAAAGAAATGCGACCCGTTCAGGAGTTAATAGGTTTGATTTTCTCGTACTTTGAAGCATTGTATTTGTGTTTTGTTGGGACTCAAAAAAACAGGTTGAAAGTTAATTAGGTGAGATGGACATGCCAATAAGTTTAAGTGACAGTACCCTTCCCCGTCACACCTCCCAGACTATAGAAAAGATGGAACCCACCAGTCTTAACAATACTGTAATTGGATTCTTAAAAGGACATTCCAGTTACAGTGTTTAGACAGATCAGGATTAATTTATAAATAAAATCCTTTGGTAGAACTTTCCATGAGATTTGTGGGGGGGGGGGGGCACAAAGAAGTGCAGGGGTCATATTTCCAGAAACTAAAAGTATTCTGTTGGCGTATGACCCACCCACCCCCGATGGAGTTTCATTGTTGGGAAAGGCACTAGAATACAGCTTGGCTCAATAGAGATAACCACACAAATCCATCTTATTTCTGGTCCAACTCATTGTGTGATAATAATTCTATACAATGAATAAAAAATATTTTGAGGAAGAGTTATTTCATCTCTTAGCTTTTTGAAGAATGTGAAAATAAACAATTCTTGGCAATGTCCCTGTCCATCTCAATTCTACCTCTGTAGAAGTTTTCATGGGACTTTAGGAATCTTAGCTGAAGGCCAGGGCATCTGATGTGGAGGGAGTGGATTCTGCCCATCTGTGGCCTCGACCTTTCCCCTCAGCCTGTGACAGTTCACAGCCAGAACCAACACCCTGTTTTAATTTTGCTCCTCCTCTCTGGCTTATCCAGGTGCTGCCTCGCCAGACTTGTGGTCTTTTTACTCACACTATATTCTATAATGAGTACCCTGGTGGATCCAAGGAATTAGACAAGAGCATTCGTGGTGGAGAACTTTTCCTGACGGTGCTCCTGAACCCAGTAAGTAATAAGAATACAAAAGTCTTCATTCAGGTGGTGGACTTCCTCTTTTTTTCTGCATTTGTAGACCACTAAATAAATGTTAATTGATGTGGGGACTACTAACTTAAATACCCCTTCCTTGCATTTTTTAATTTTATTTTAAAAGCATGGAAGTTCAGTTTTTAGTAAATAAGATAATTCTGTGTTTAGAAAAATTGGTATGGTAAAAACATAAATCAAGGATAAATCCATTTTCAGGAATAGGAATATCTCTCTCCTATTTGATTATGCTGCCAACTGTATTTTCCATTCTCAAGTTTTTGTTATTGAAGAATCTTTAGGTAACAGGTGGCTCTATTATGCTTTGACACCAATGCAGCTGTAGAGCTGTCAGTCAAATTTTTCTGACTTTTGCTGAAGAAATGAATGGCACTTTCCATCAGGCGTTTGTAGAGTGAAAAAACTAAGCATTCATGATGTGAGAAGATGACTTTTTGCAGTCATAACATTCATTAGTAAGGCTAATTTATACAATCCTATCAAATTGCACAGTTCCAAATTGTTAAATTGTTAAAAGACTAAAAACAGTGTACCTCTTTTTTGCTTTGTAGTCAAGCACTTCCTCAAGTCATTGAGAAAAGTCTTTGCTGCTGGTCACATGGTATCATCTCTGCTGTTGCCATACTTAAAATCACAGGGCTGGAAGGGACCTTGGGGGTCTTTTAGTCCAACCCCTTACCCAAGGCAGGAGTCCTTCAACCATCCTGGACAAATGGTTATCCAATCTTTTTTTGAAAACCTTCAGCAATGGAGCACCCACAACTCTAGGAGGCAAGCCTTTCCATTGATAACTCATTCTTACTGTCAGGAAATTCCTCTTTATTTCCAAGTTGGATTTCCCTCTGATGAGTTTCCACCTATTGCTTCTTGTCCTGCCCTCAGGTGCTTTGAAGTCAGCTCCCTCTTCCCCGTGACAAGCCTCCAAGTACCGGAAGACGGCTGTCATGTCTCCCCTAAGCCTTCTCTTCGTTAGGCTCAACATACCTAGTTCCCTTAGCAGTTTGTCTTGATTTAGCCCCATATTCCTCATCATCTTTGTGTACTTCTGTGTACTGTTTCTAGGGCCTCAGCATCTTCTTTGTATTGTGGTGACTAGAACCAAATGCAGTGTTCCAAATGTGGCCTTGCTAATGCAGTATGGAGCAATACTAGAACTTTCTGGTATCATGATTTGCGTCCTCATGAGCTGTAATAGATTCCAAGATATTGGAATCCTTATTTTGATACTTTAGGGATACAGTGATAAAGCATCCAAATGACACCTACAACATCCTGGAAAAATATTGCAAGGGATCAGTTTCTGCTTATTGGAAACAGCATCAAGATCACAGAAAGTGATAAGACCTTGCAGCTGGCTATAGCTGATATCTGTGGGCTCCACCCCTTCATTTCTTGGGTTAAGTTTTAGAAGCCCTTAAATAATAAAGATAATTCTGTTGGCCAACGACTTCAATGCCCTCTGGGAAGGCCAGAAGGAGATCTGACTTAGAGATAATTGTGTCATAGCTCAACTGACTTTATGAGTCTCTGAGAGCAGACCATCATCAGTTTCTAAGGAATGGAATGTACTGTATTTTTCGGAGTATAAGATGCACCTTTTTCCCCTCAAAAAAGAGGGTGAAATCTGGGTGCATCTTATACACTGAATACAGCATTTTTGGCCTCCTGAAACTCCGCCCCCTTCACCAAAATGGCCATGCTTTACCTTTAGGAGGCTTTCAGAGTGCTCCTGGGGACTGGGGAGGGCAGAAATGAGCGAAAAATGGGCCCTTCTTTGCTTGTTTTTGCTTCCCTCCCCCCACAGCCCCCAGGAGCACTCTATAAGCCTTCTGAAGGTAATGCACAGCCATTTTGGGGGGGAAAAAACAGGCCCATTTTTGCAAAAAAGGGGCCATTTTTGGGAGGTCTGCAGAGTGCAAAAACTTTTTTTAATTTGCCTCTTCAAAATCTTGGCGCATCTTATATTCTGAAAAATATGGTATTTAAATCATTTATCAAAAACTATTAAATACCATTAAGATAAAAATTGAAAGATGTGCAGGAATTTAAACTTGAATGCAGAAAGAGGCTTTGATTAGCAAGGGGATGCTTGTGGCACCTGAAAGAAGCCCCGGCTGAAGTATGTGTTGTTTTGGGACTGGTGTGCAGAACAAGGAAATGATGAAGTTTCTCTAGGGTTCAACAGTGGGTAGAGTGGTCAGATCCAAGCCAGATCCAAAAAGGTCTCCTTTCTCAGGTCCTTATTCCACAACCGCCCCAAAAAAGAAATGAAGCTATGAACCAAAGAATGAATGAAATAAAATATGGAATCAACCATTCAAACCTAGACCTTCAAGCAAGCACAGCTGAGAAAATAAAATCAACTGCCCTAGTACATGGGTAGTGTGGTCCATTGATTTGGAAAAATGGAGATCTTCTCTGCAGAGTGCATGCAGTTAAGAGGGAAAGAAAATGCATCAGAATGCTAGGATGACATGGGGCAGCACAACAGGGCAGGTTGCACTGTCTCAGTTGCCCCATGTATCTTCTCCTCTTTTTGGCTGGGATGAAGTATAGTTAGCAACAGGATTTCGACAAACTCCTCATCATGACACACAGATCAGGTGAAGATTCTGTTCCCTTTGTATTTCCAGCTCATAACATTTTCATCTGGTTAATGGGAAAGCTATGAAACAGGCATACTTTGGCTATGGAGATTCTCGGCCATCCAGGTCATGATTGTCCCAAAGGTGCTTTTTCAAAAGGCAACTGGACTTTCTTTGTTTTTCCTTGAAGGCGTTTCGCTTCTCATCCAAGGAGCAATTCCGAAGAAGTTTCCTGGATGAGAAGCGAAACATCTTCAGGGAAAAACAAAGGAAGTTCAGTTGCCTTTTGAAAAAGCACCTTTGGGATAGACGACATATGCTTGTTTTTCCTCTCATGTTGATAAAACTTTAATAATAGCTTAGAAATAGTGATAGAGATACATAGGCAGGTTAATTCCAGACTGCAAAATCTCCTGGATAGAGCCCTATCTACTACCCAAGATTCTCAGTCTTACTCACAGCTGTGTTGTCTTTGTGGGAAGCAGCTATGCAGCTTTTCCTTCATCCAAATTCATTTGAGCTGTACATTCTTCCGGGGAAATGGCTTTCTTTCTGGTATATATAACAAGACTTTGGAAATCTCCTTTCCATAAGGGCTAGAATATTTTTTTCCGCATCAGACTTATTGCAGCTGTATTTAATTGGGGTTGTTTTTTAAACTTAAATGCAGTATCCTTCTGGTATGGATTGTGTGGGGCAGGGGTGCCCAAACTTGGCAACTTTAAGACTTGTGGACTTCAACTCCCAGAATTCTGGATGGAAAATTCTGGGAGTTGAAGTCCACAAGTCTTAAAGTTGCCAAATTTGGAGACTCCTGGTATAGGGTCTTTGGTGCTTAGTTATTTCCTTGTAGATGTTTCATTACCAAACTAGGTGACATTATAGTAGGGAACGGGGTTTGTTCTCATTTTAGGTACTAGTGGCTTGTTCTGCTAGTGTTGGTGGGAATATTAGTTTGTATGTTTGAGTTACTACTTCCTCAATTGGAGTATTGTTTACTTCTCAGTTGTTGGTCTACTCTAGTGTTAATCTTGGTGTTAGTCTCTGTTTGTCTGGTTGTTGATTGCCAGCGAGGAAGTGTTTTGATCTTTTAGTTTCCTTTTTGTCTTTTTGATTGTCACTTGAATGGCATGTAGTTTTTGTTTAACTCTATTTGCCTGTTGATGGCCGATTTGTCTGAGTGCTAGATTTCCAGGAATTCTCTGGCATTTTTGGACTTGGCTTGGTCTAGGATGTTCACAGTTTCCCAGTTGAAACTAAGGTTAAGTCTGTCCATGTGTTGTGAAATTAAGTTTCATCCTGTTTTCTGACTGCTAGTTGGTGTTCATGGATGCCCTCTGCTAGCACTGACACTGTTAACTAGTTCAGTAATGGAACCTCTGCAAGAAAACCACCAAGCTCAGAGAGCACTAGGGACCCCGCAGTTCAACCCTGAACTACAGATATTCTCTTCTAGATGCTGTGGGTTGTCTTGTTCCTTTCCCCCCACCCCCTTGAAGGCTTCCTGGTTGTCTAGCCGTTCATCAGAGAGGAGCATTTAGTGTAAGAACCCTGCAAAGAGTTTGCAAAGAAGGCTGATGTCCTTAGCAACCCTCTTCCCTCCAATTCAGTTGGAGTTAACAGGCCCATTTAGCGAAGCAGAGCGCTTTTCCCTTTGTAAGGCACCAATTTCCACAGCGCCCCCTCATGACTGACCGAAAAAGGAGGGGAAGGGCAGCCTAATGGTGTAGAACAGAAAGACACTGCCTTGGTTTATACCACATACTATACTAGACTAAAATGATGTTGAATAGTTTATACTTTCTGTACAATAGTTTTACCTCAAGAATACAGCATGTTATGTAAACACAGCAAATCTGTCAGAGGCAAATTAACACTGACCTGACTTACATGGCTTTTCACTCCTAACTATGTATACTGTACATTTTCAAGGTCTGCACCCTAAGTTCAGCCTTGCCTGAACTTGGGGTATAAACCCCTTAAATGACATGGCTAAATTTCCACTAATTGCAGCCCCCACCCCCACCCAACGGATGGTCTCTAGAACTTTTGATAACATCTTACATGCTTCTCCTAGCATGTTCTTTAGCTCAAATTGGCGCCACCCATTGTGGTCACAACAGATAAAAGTACTTGTCTTCCATGTGATAACTACACTTGAGTGTTCAAATGTTAAGATACTATTCATAGTTAAACTGTCTATTGTATTGCTCATAGTATCTGGCACTCATAACTACAATTGTCTGAATTGTGAAAGTTGACCAAGAGGTTATAGAGTTACTACTGCAAGATCAAACATGAGCAACTAGTAAAAATTTGCCAAGTTCTTAGCAATAATTATGGTGTGCAGAAGTCCGTTGGTACCACCAGTAGTAATTGTAGGTTTGATTTTCTCATACTGGCTGGGGAATTCTGGGAGTTGAAGTCCACAAGTCTTAAAGTTCCCAAGTTTGGGCACTCCTGGTTTGGACAGATCAAGATTAATTTATAAATAAAATCCTTGGGTAGGTCTTTCCATGAGATTTGGGGGGGGGGGCACGAAGATATACAGGGGTCATATTTCTAGAAACTAAAGGTATTTTGTTGGCTTGTGACCCCCACCCCTGATGGAGACTAAATTTTCAGTAAGTGTGCACTTGTCATACCAATAGGAGACTCCCAAGTTCCTTGCTCTTGAAATGTAATAAACATAAAAAGAGCAATGTAAATAAAATAGCTCTGCATTCAACAGGCTGAGAGATATGATGGCTTTCTTTTCAGAAAAAAAAAGAACTAAGTGGAACTGATGAATTAATTAAAATCTTCTCAAGAAATTCTGGGGCACAGGAATTATTTATATGAATATCCTCTTTCGCAGCAAGGATGACTGTAAATGTCAAATCTAAACAAACGAAAGAACAAAAACTTTGGGATCTTGGATATTGAATGCTTTGCAACTGCAGCAGTGGTAGGCTATGACCGGTACATCCCAGTACGGGCGTACCGGTGCCTGTTGGGAGCACCAGGTACCGTTCCGGTATGGTGCTCTGGAGGGCCCGCCCCCCTCTTTACCTGTATTTGAGCCAATCGGGGGGGCTTATGCGCACGGAGCGCACGGCGCCTGCATAACGCTCCACCGAGCAGCTGGGCATCGCGGGTGGTAAGTACGCATGCGTGCACTGCATGCATGCAGTGCGTGTTCATGTGGTGGACGCCCAGCCCCGTTGCACTGTACTGGTTGCAATGGGATCCGGAACACACCACTGAACTGCAGGAAGCAAAGCAATGGGTCCCAAGTGCATTTGATGGTTGATACTAATGGAAGCTTCCACTTCCTTCCTTCATTGTAGATCAGCATCTTCATGACCCACTTGTCGAATTACGGCAATGACCGGCTTGGGCTCTACACTTTTGAAAGCCTTGTCAAATTTGTGCAGTGCTGGACCAATCTTCGTATTCGGACTTTGCCTCCCATGCAGTTGGCCAAAAAGTATTTTGAAATATTTTCAGAAGAAAAGAACCCTCTGTGGCAGGTGAGGAAGCATTGTTGGGAGAGGGAGGTGGGGGTGGATTTTCCCACCATGTCTAAGATAGGCTCCCATTGATCCCACTTCAGCTGAAGATTTGATTTGATCTTAATACAAAAGTAGAAAGTTCAGAGTTTAATGAATCTTTGTTATTTGCTGCAAGAGATGCAAGTTCCTGCATTTCATTTTCACTTTGATTCTTTTGGAATTAACTGGGAATATGGAAAGTTATGGCTGTTTCTGGACCTAGGAAACTTTTATTTTTGAGAGAAGTTTGACATTTTTGAAGTGACTCTGATTCCATTTTCAGCATGTACATGTACATATGTATATACTGAATATGTATATGTACATGTACATATACATATTCAGCATGTATAAGCAAGGTGGGTCATTGGTGAATCCAACCATTTTTCCAGTGGCAGGTCCTGTTGGGTGGGCAGATTACCTGGAAGGGTAATCTAGCTTCAGACCCCCAACTGAGGCTGTTATTTTGACAGGAAAATGATGTTCCTAAATAGGTCTCAGGGCTGTAGAATTGGAAACTGTTGGGACAAACACCAGGGACAGCTCTCCTTTGGCAAGCAAGGGACAAAAACAAAGTCAAAAGAGGCATTACTGATTGTCAGCACATATTTGACCTTCCTCTTAGTCAGAAAGATAACCTTAGAACCCGTTTTTGTTTTTCTTCATGTACCACTCCAGATTATACATTAACCTGTAAATACATCCTGACATCTCTATCAATCCTTGAAAGAGGAATGTGGAGATGATTATTAGCATACCTATGTTTAGAAATTCAGCTGGGGAGTTTACCTGGGTGGGCAGCTTTCTTTTACTGCTAGAAACTCCCTCTGATAATATGCAATTAAGGAGTCCTTTGGTAGAATAGATAATAAAGGAATTGGAGTCTTTGAATATCAGTTGCTCCCATAAACTGGCTATAAAAGTTATGCTACGCTAAGAATCCAGCTAGACCAACCTTGAATGAAGATAATATCACCTGCCTTAGCTATTTCAAATTCTTGCAATACTACCAGATTGGCACCCCTTTTCCTCCAAATCCTGCATATAAGAGAGAGCATCCAGTATTCATCTTGGTACCCAGGAATGGGTACCAAGATGAACAAATGGTCTATTGTTGAATGCTAACCCTTACAATTTCCTGCTGCTCAACCAAAATCCCCCCTAACCAAAAAGTATCCAAAATTGGAACCCACAATTTTTTATTCTATCTTCTGGAACACTCTGAATGATCTTCAGGGCTGGAGATGTCTTGAAGATGTCCATCAGATGTCTTCCAAACTAAAGTCACCCACAGCACCAACTGTTCCTCATAACCATTTTTCTTTGCCAGCCCTCTTGGTGGCTGTCATCTGAACATGCTCTCATGTCAGTGGCCTTCCTAAAATGCGTTGCTCAAAACCAAGCACATGCCAGGGGAATTTGACCAGTGCCAAAAAAAATAGAAAAATTACTTCTCTTGAATTTCCTATTAGGGAAAGAGCAAGAGCAAGCAAACATAACTTCAAAATAAATGCAGATTTCAAAAGATAAACTTTTCAAAAATACCTTTGTCTGCTTTGATGTATTAAATGTTTTCATAACATTATAAAAAAGTAGTGTGATTAAACAGCTTTGATCCAGAGCTCAGTATTCTTGTAGACCATTCACCCAGTATCATAGTAGCACATTTCAAAGCACCTTAGATTGGGGACTTCTCATACAATTTACTTACCTAATGTATACAAGGTCATGTATTGGCTACATGATCTCATGGTGGATGTCTTTCTTGACGTAGAACCCTTGTGATGACAAGCGACATAAGGATATCTGGTCAAAAGAGAAGACGTGTGACAGGCTTCCCAAGTTCCTTATTATTGGTCCTCAAAAAACTGGTAACGTTTGTCCCCAATGGCATTTTTCCTCTTGCTTAACAATTTGACTTTTGTATAATGCATTGTGAGTCTCCATTTTGTGATTTCAGTCTTCATCTGTCAGCCTAGTACCCCTTAAAGTCCAGGTAGAAAAGCTAAAGCTGCCTGAATGTCACCAAACTCCACCTTCTCACCTCCCTTACTGCTGGCCATGTGGACTTGGGCCCTTGCTCTATCTAGTTCAGTGGTTCCCAAACTTGGCAACTTTAAGACTTGTGGACTTCAAGTTGAAGTCCACAAGTCCTAAAGTTGCCAAGTTTGGGAACCACTGCTCTAGTTCACCAGCCTCTGGACAGCAGGCATTCCCCTCTGCAGATTTAAAGTTTAATGAGGATTTTACCATGGAGGGTAAATCTTGAGGGGCAAATCTACATGGAGATTCCCTACTCCTTTCAGACCTATCAAACAGAGATAAAATAGATGAGCAACTCAATAAATTTGGGGATTAATCAATGTACAAAAAGATGTTTAAACTGGAAACCAGCATTCTTCACCACTCCGCTATAGTGGATAAGTGAAAAGAAATACAAGGAGTCCTTGATTTACAATCATTTGTTTGGTGATTGATCAAAGTTACAACAGCACTGAAAAAAGTGGCATATGGTCCGTTCTGACAATTGTTGCAGCATCCCCGTGGTTATGGGATCAAAATTTGGGTGCATGGCATTTGGTACATATTTATGACAGTTGTTCTGTCCTGGGGTCATGTGATCATCATTTGTAATCTTCTCAGCTAGCGTCCAATCAATGGGGGAAAGCCAGGTTTGCATAATGATTGCATGATTCACTTAACAACTTCAGTAATTCACTTAACAACTCTGGCAAAAAAAGGTCATAAAATGGGGTGCAACAACTACTTGCTTAGGATTGGAAATTTTGGGTTCAGCTGTTATCTTAAGTCAAGGACCAGCTGTATTTGGAACTAGCAGATATTTCAGTTATTAATGGCTGAAGTAAACCCAACATAACGCTGATGAAGCTTTTGTTTTCCTCTTATTTCTCTGTTGCAGGAACAACTGCTGTGCATTTCTTTCTCTCCATGCACCCAGCTGTGACTAGCAATTTCCCAAGCCCATCCACCTTTGAAGAGATCCAGTTCTTTAATGGACCCAACTATCACAAAGGAATTGATTGGTACGTGCTGGGATTCCTATTGAATTGTCTCTGAGAGCCTCTGGATCCTGCCTGCCTATCCCTGGTCATAAAGCTGGGCCGAGATTCTCCACATCCTGTTGCATTTCCATGAGTCTCCCTCGCACTAGCAACTTATTTTTGTTCCAGCGTCCAGCCGATTGTATAAAACAATGTGAACTTCAAATGTTATATAACATTGCTATCTTTTAATTAATCCAAGGATGCTTGTGTTGGTCGCTGATTTGCCTTCATCATTTCTTTTTAAAAAAAACTTTATTAAACTTTTATAAAACAAAAATGGAAATAGTGGGAAAATGGGGAAAGGAAAAGAGAAAAGAAAGAAGTGGAGGGGGAGGGGAGAAAGCCTTGACTTCTGATTCTTTTTAGTGCAGTAGAATAAAATAATAACGCTACATCCTCAACTTTTTACTTTCACAACTTTAACATGTACCAGCCATTTCTAAAATCACAAACTTACCTAATCAGCAAAGTTTCATTTTTTTCCATCTCAAGCACAAACATTCAGAAGTGGCTATCAAGCAAAAACAAATCTGGATGTTTTCATTTCTTTGATCAGAGTAGCTAATCTAACCATCTGCATTTATCATTTCATAAAACAAAGACAAGGTTGGTGTTTCTCGACCTTGATGACTTTAAGGTGTGTGGATTTCAATTCCTAGAATTTCCCCAGCCAGATCGAGAAACCCCGGAGTAACTGATCAAGGCAGACTTCAGAGAGGATAGTGTTTGTGTCGGTCCCCATAAGGCGGGCTTCATTGCATCTCAGGTTGAATCAGAACATGGCGATCCAGCCTGAGGGAGGGCAGAGACTCCTGCCAGAACAAGGCAAATGCTTGTGTGTACTCTTGTCAGTGCCTACAAACTTCTTGTGTATAGTAAGAAATTTCTCAATTCTAAATAAATCCATCCCCATCATTATGATTCCCTTATTTTTTCTCCTGATTTCCTCAACTTGACAGGTACATGGAATTCTTCCCCATCCCTTCTAATGCCAGCACAGACTTCATGTTTGAGAAAAGTGCCAATTACTTTGACACCGAGGTAGTCCCCAAACGAAGTGCAGCTCTTCTTCCACAGGCCAAAATCATTGCTGTCCTTATCAACCCTGCTGACCGAGCCTACTCTTGGTATCAGGTAACTCAGAAAGGCCAGGCTGCCTAGGTGAAGCTTTACGTATTGGCTGCCTTTTGAATGAGGAAAAGCATAATTTTATGCTCTTAATTCACTTTTCACACTTGCAGCATCAACGTGCTCACAATGACCCTGTGGCCCTGAACTACACCTTTTACCAGACCATTTCTGCTGGACCCAAGGCCCCCCAAGAGCTGCATAATCTACAGAGTCGTTGTCTGAATCCTGGATTATATTCGGTACATCTGGACAGATGGCTAACATATTTTCCATCAGGGCAGGTACAACCTTTTTTTTTTCATGATCGAGCTGATGTTTGAAGGCAATTTACCATATTTTTCAGAGTATAAGATGCACCTTTTCCCCTCAAAAAAAAGGTGAAAATCTGGGTGCTTCTTATACACTTAATACAGCTTTTTTGACCTCCCAAAACACCACCTCCTTTGCAAAAATGGACGTGCAGAAGCTTTGGGAGGCCTGGAAAGTGCTCCTAGGGGCTGGGGAGGGCACAAATGAGCAAAAAATGGACCGTTTTTGTCCCCCCAAATCCCCAGGAGCACTCTACAAGCTTCCTAGAGCCTCTGCATGCCTTTTTTTTTGTGTGCAAAAAACGAGGCATGCAGAGGGTTTGGATGTCCTGCAGAGTGCAAAACCTTTTTAAATTTTTTACCTCTTCAATGGTGCGCCTTATACTCCGGTGAGTCTTATAGTCTGAAAAATATGGTATGTGAACCCTAAAACTGATACTGAGCAACGTTTCCAGAATGTATTAGCTTTCATTTGCAGAAGCAAACCCGGATTCTTTTTGAATATCTCTTTGTGAGACTTACCAAAGGTCTGTCTCACAAAAAGAGGTTCAAGAAGAATAAAAACTACTAAGATAATGCCCTATTAAAAACTTGCTGGCTTTCTAGGTTTCAGAGGTGAGTGGACCCAGAGTGGAAAGGAACTTTGAAGAAGCAGTGTTTCTTGAACTTTTGAACTTCATCATTAATGCAAACCCTGGTTATAGAAAATTCTGTACTCTCTCTTGCCAGCTGAATCATAAGAGAAAGGAATTTATCAATTGCCTCCTTCAAGAAGTGAGGTGGACAAAAAGAGTAATAATCTGGCAACCAAATATAATTAGGAAATACCTGCGATATCTGTTGATTCTTCGTTCAGGAAATATCATTAAAGTGATATGCATCATCCAGAAATACTCTACAAGTCTCTGGGAAGATTTTGTGTAGATGCTGTAGAGAGAACATTGTCAGCCCTTTTGAACCATCCCTAATCCTGAAGTGCTGTAAATGCTTTACTTCAGTCTAGTGGTGGGTTCCGGATCCCGTCGCAACCGGTATGCTGTGACGGGGCCAGGCTTCCACCTCGGGCACGCATCTACACCCACCCACTGATCAATGGAGGTCACATAGGCACTGTATGCTGCATGTGCATGTGCAAATGGCCCGGTTGACTTAAAAGCAGGTAAGAAACGCGGGCGGGCAGGTGGGCCCACCAAAACACCGTTCTGGTACGGTGACTGCTGCTCCTAGCCGCCACCGTACCAGGGTGTACCGGCTGGAACCCACCACTGCTTCAGTCCTATTAAAACATACACTGAGTTATTTATTAAACAAATAACTCCCAGAGTTTGCCATGTTTTTATTGAGCACATTGAGCCAAATTACTTTTTCTGTTGGAAAAAGCTTAGGAAAAAGCCAACCACAACCTGTTCTCCTGAAGAGCTGGTTATTCCAGGCTATGAGACTACAGCTAGTGGGGCACTTGAGGCTCCCTCCCCTAAGAAGAAATACACAACCACACATTCTCTTTCTGATGCAGGCTTGTGAAAGGGGATCATGCCCCAATCAAGAGACGTGCACAAACTTCCCAAAGTCTTCCTCATGTCACGCCTCATGAAGCTTGGAAGGGCTCTGAAATCATTGCAACAGTTCCGATGTAGGGCAGCCCAAAAATATCAGTAGTTGAAGCAAAAGCCAAAATACTTTCAAGTTAGCATGCAAGGTTAATCAATAGGTACCACCGTTACTGCCGTTACTAACTACTAAAGGAACTTCTATGTCTTCGCATCCTTTTTCAAGAAGCACAGCAAGTGTTGGCTCAATGGGCTCAGTAAAGGCACAACGCTGGATCCTGTATGGGGGGTTGTCTCCTTATCTACAAAGAGGACTTAGGTCAAGATTATTGAAGGTCGCAGTCTGTCAGGATTACAGATTGTACTAAAAGTTTCTTTCATTGATGCAAAGCTTGGTTAGATTTACCAAGAACTTTGGCCATTTCTCCTTCCATTTAGATTCTGATAGTTGATGGGCAGGAGCTTCGACAGAGCCCCTCTTCCATTATGGAGAACATTCAACGGTTTCTGGGAATTACACCACTGCTCAACTACACACAAGCACTAAAGTAAGGCCTCTCCATTTGCATGGAGGCATTTTTGTCTTGAAATCTTTGTAAAAACATGTATACATTTGTGTGACAGGTGCTTATAAGCTAATTTCCCTGTATGACCTGATTTGAACACAGCACTTCTAGGCCAACAAAATATTAAATGAGGATATGGTCAGAGAATCCCGCCCCTCCCTTTCTCTAGATTCATAACATTTCTGGTTGGGTTTATCACTTCCCATTTCCACATAATGAGAATCAGTGGACATGAAGCCCAGGAGCTTGTTAATTGCTCCCACTTCAGTCAGTCTTTTGGCTTGTTTGCCAAGGGCTGGCAGGGTAGACAAACTTGCTGCCCGCTTTAGAGTCCCATCAAAGCAGGTTCGATGGCATGAGATGGTGGCAGTTAAAACAACAACATCTGAGCTTGTTGCCATCTTCTGGGGATTCTGGATCCTTCAGTTAAAGGGGAGTTACCAAATAAAAATAATCATCCCTGTGATTACGGTCTTGAAAGGCATTTTCTTAAAATTCAGTCTATTTTCAGTAAGTGTCTGCGAGATGTTTCGTTGCCCATCCAAGCAGCTTCTTCAATCTGAACAAATTTCTTTAGGGGAGCTGAGCAGGCAGAAAGTCCTTGGAATGTACCAACTCCTAACTTCCTTAGTGGCATTCCTGCCTCAGGGTTTCTTCCCCAAATTGCAGGCTTGTTCTGACTGAAGAAGCTGCTTGCATGGGCAGCAAAATGTCTCAAACCAAGAAAATAGGTCCAGTTGCCGCAGCTCAACTTCTAGACGCAGAGACACATTTCTTTTTCAAGAATGCCTCTGGAGCTCAAGAGTCCTCTTATTTTGTCCCCTTATTTTGCAGCATGTGGTTCCCATTTATTTTGATTCAAGGGAACAAAAAAGACAGTTGGGCAGGCTAGCCGGCACCAATAAAGGAGGTAGAAGGTAGACCCATCCCGAGGCAATTCTTGCTAGCATAAATGCAGAGGTTTATGTATTGCTGCCCTTGTTATATTCTGGGTTGCCGACACCACTTTATCTGCCTTCCCTGCTGCTTTCATTCATCTGAAATTGTTCCTTTTACTTCGTTGCTTTTTTTTTTTTTTGAGCTGCCATGAACAGGATAAGGATGCCTACATTAATTTCCATAAGTAAACTGTACCAAGGAGGAAGAGCCTAAGAGGATCCTGTAGAGAGCCAGGATGCCCAGGAGGGATTTCTTCCCTCTGGCTCCATAGACAGTGATCAGGTTAGATCTCACAGGGCTTCCTGCCAAAGGGATGCCTTGCCTTGGAGATCAGCTCTGCCAAGGACTCCCTCCCGTACCAGATTCAGAGCTTCTTTGATCCACAAGGGCAGAGATTATCCAGAGGGAGGCAGAGCCAGCCTGAAATGTAGGAGATCAGTTGTGTTTCATTTTAGTTCCTGTAATGTAAAGCTGGTGTTGTTTGTTTTCTGAGAGATCTTGGGCAAGATCATTGCCCAAACAGGCATTGAAAGAAAAGGAAAACTAGAAAGGTATTCAGTTAACCTTCGTAGCACTCTAGATCAGTGGTTCTCAACCTTCCCAATGCCAGGCCCTTTAATACAGTTCCTAATGTTGTGGTGACCCCCAACCATAAAATTGGTGTCTCAGTTCCTAAGACCATCGAAAATATGTGTTTTCCCATGGTCTTAGGCAACTCCTGTGAAAGGGTCGTTCAATTCCCAAAGGGGTCCTGTCCCACAAGTTGAGAACCACTGCCCTAGATTAAAGCACAGGTGTATAAAAGGACTGTTTAAAGTAAGCTTCCCTTTCAGGTATGATGACGCAAAGGGATTTTGGTGCCAGCTGCTTGACGGAGGAAAGACCAAATGCCTGGGGAAGAGTAAAGGGAGAAAATATCCAGAGATGGATTCCTCGGTAAGCTACATAGAACTCCTGCATGTCTGTTATAATTGAGAGAGAGAAAGAGTTGTCCCTGGCCTTTCATTAACGCATCCTCTCTCTTTGGGGGCCCTGCAGTCCCGGATGTTCCTGGCAGATTTCTACCATGAGCACAACATTGAATTATCCAAGTTGCTGAATACGCTCAGGCAGCCTCTTCCCACGTGGCTCAGGGAGGAGCTGCAGAATTCAAGCTGGAGCTGAAGCCCAGATCTCCACAAGCAAGACTGCCAAACAAACTCAAGTGGGAGCCCTCGGGAAGGACACGCATGTGCGTGCACACACACACACACACCACTGCCAACTTTCTTTGAATCACCCAGAGTGGGATGAGGAAGCGTGTCATCTGTGGGCGAACCGTGCACTTTCAACTATTTATAGTTTGATGCAGCTGAGAGACCCCTTCAGACCATAACTGCACAAGATACTGTGCAGTAGTCGCCCACTGTTCCCAAATTCTATGGTAACTAACATAGGAATGTGTGTAGCCTGTAATTCCCAGATGCAAGGAAGCTGAAAGCAGCATCTCCAAGGAGCGGAGGCAAGAAAATGTGTAGGCTACTGTGACATTTCTTGTTAATGTCCAAAATGCTCAGGAAACTAGCAAGTGAATGTCTTACTATTTGTGACAGCTCTGTTATGTATAGGGTGGTGTTTCCAAAGTTCTTAGTCCTGGACATCAAATGGAATTTTCTTAGTTCCATTTTAGTTATTTCATGGTTTCTACCCCAGGGGTCAGGGAAGCAAAATAGGTGATGTCACTAGAATGGTACAGACATTCTCGGCTAGAAAGTGGTTGGTGACAAGTAAAAGATGGAGAGAAATCTTCATCTGGGATGAGAAGTTGTCCTCTGATGCCCGCTGCATGGATTTTTCTTCTGCATTTAGTTGTTAGGAGTCTCCTTTCGTTCCTTTCTGAGCACAGCAAGATGAAGATGGCTGAGAGGGAACAGAATTGGTACAAAACGTCTCATTTTGCCTCCATGAGTCTCCAGTTTCCTTCTAGAATCTATTCCTACTTTCTGCCTTGCTACCACCGTCTCATGGAGTACAAAGCAGATTCTTGCCCATCTCTCAAACATGCCTTATATACAATGGCCCAGCAACTCCCAAGACACCCAGTGCTGAGCTGACTGGAAATACGCAGACTTAAGACGGGGAGACACCTTGGGGTAACATCTGTAACTTGGTGCGTTCATTGAACCAGGGAAGAAAGTGATTTCAACCAAGCTTTCACATTGAGCCTTAGTTGTTGTGCATTTTTAATTGTGAATTTACCATTGTCTGTAAATATATAATATGGACTTTATAATATCTCATTCAATGTGTCCCCAAGCAGCGGGAAATGTAACCAAAAATGTAATCCACCAACCTAAAACCCTGTGGCTGAAGAAAGAAAGGAAAAAGTGCTGTTCTTCCTGCACTGGATTCATGTATATTGTCATTCACATTGAATGATACAAATAAATTCTTGGCTCTTGCAGCTGAGCACAATGTCTAAATAAAGATTAGACATAGCATTTGGATCAATAAATGAACTGCTTTATTTCTTGCTAGATGTAGATTTTCAAGTTGCGCTAACCCTTTTCCTGACCAAATAGCTCTGATTATGCATGCAGCAATTATTATTAAAATGAAACTAGAAAACAGTAACACTTAAGACTAGATAATCTCAAAAAAATCTGATCAATAACATAAAAAACTATATTTTCTGGAGCGGAAACATGAGGCTAATTGGAAGTGGCAGACATTTTAAAGACTTTTTAAGCCTGATTGGGATCTGCTGAGATTCAAAGCTTAAGTACCTATCGGGATATGCCCATGTGAACTCCAAGAGAAGAACGTTCTACACAAGGAGTGAAGTTGAAGGTCAAGGGCGCATTAGAGGAGGAAAGGTACACACAGTATTCAGCTCAAGTCCATGAATAATACAGGAGAGAAAAATTGGGTATAAAACTAATTGCAAGCGGCCAAGTCTATATTGTGTCCAGCACTTTGAAGCATTTCAAAATCACACTTAAACAATGTAGGGCTTTTCCTGGGATTGGGCTACAGCTACAGAGGGAGGCTGAGCATTTCTGGGAAAGAAGATGGTTGTCTGATGCCTTTTTGCCATTCACTCCCAAGGCACTGCACAGCTCTTTTCAAAGGAATCAAAGACATTTCCAGAATGGCTAGTACGTTAATTAGAATGTCCTAGTCAAATATCAAGGGTAAGGGATAAGTTGATGATGAATACACAAAGGTAAATGATTTCTATTTAATATTATTGTTAAAATAACAGGAGGTAGGAGTTTGTAGTCTGCTAGACAGTTCCCCATATTTGCAGCAGCAAATCATAACCTCTATGCAAACAAACATAGATTTCAGAGTTGGAAGAGGTCAGGCCCATTTAATTTCTAGATTCCACCATTGTGCTGCTTTTAGGACGATCTCTCCATCGCTCAACCAGAACTCACTTGGAACACTTGACTTGCACTTTACAGTGACCTGGATTGCTTCTCCTTTCTGTACACATGACTTCAAATGCCTGGAGAAAGTGCTGAGCATTCTTCCAATGTTCGCCTTCTATCATTCTCCAGTGTGCTGCTTAGAGAATCCAAGGAATCGGTTAATTTCGGTCTGCTTGCCTCGAGACTGAATTGAATGAAACTCGGCCACACCTCCTTTTGCACTCAGCCGATCAGTTTTTTCAATTCAGTCTGCCTAACAAGACATAATCACCACCTCTCTTCGATTTTTCTATCATGAAAACCTGTTCCTTGATTCTCATTGCAGGTAATATGAATTAATTTGTTTGTATTTTTTATTTCACAGGTTATTCCTAGCACGCTGGTTTCCCCGGTCCACCAGTTAGAACCGCTTGTTTCCCGTCCTACCGGAAGGCGCTATTAATATTGGCCCAATCGCCCTTTTTCCGGGCTAGCCATTCTGAATATCTGGTGTAAGGGCTGTGAGATCGGTGCGCCATTCTCGGGTCCCCTCGTTGGTGTGCTAGGAGGCTTGGTCCGCCATCCTCTTGCCGTTTGCATTTGAATTATGTGGGTGGGGGCTGAGAGGAGGCTCAGCAAGTCTCCCTATTGGCTGCCGCGTTTTTCCTGGGAACCTTTTGGCTGCTTGTTTGAATTCCGGCTGTTTTTCCCCTAGCGCCAAACGAGCCGCTCCATTGCATCGGCAGTTTTGGTAGCTTGTACACAGCATTGCGAGTGAGTCAGCGAGCTAATCAGCAGTGTGATTGCGATCTGGCTTTGAGCTCTCGGATTATTAACCATTTGTGGCTAAAAGTCTGTACTTCGATCAGCGTTCTCTCCTCTTGAGTCCAGGATCGCAGGGGTCCCAGTCAGGTTTGCTGGTTAATTCCCAAGGTGTTATAAGACTTCCTATGGCTGAATGATCCACCCGCCCTGCCTCTGGGAAGACATCTCCCCAGGAAGTTCCCCCTTGGCTGCCCCTCCATCACATGGAGCAGGGAGGGCTTCCACCAGGGCCGTGACTAACAAGTCTAGGGCTAAATCCTAATCGGCGGCTGCCAATAGGGGCGCAAAAGACAAGCCTTGAGTTTCAGATAAGCAGGCTTCTAAAAGCATTCAAGTGCAGGGTCTTTCAGCCGAAGAGGTGGGCCTAGGCCTAGGCTCCACACCTAGTGCTTCAGATTTGAGCGGGGTCATCAGTCCCCAAGCCAGGCAAGCCACCCCAGAAGCCAGGCGTGCATCACCTGAGGCACTTTCACCCCCACGGCTGCTGGCTTCCGTGGGGAGGATGGACAGATCATGAGCCTGCCCAGGAAGTTTAGAGATCTTATTTCTGCAGCTATTTCCCAGGGGGTGGATTCAGAACTGCATAAGAGATCCAGAGGCCCAAGGTCCTCTTCTAGGCCTTCTTCAGCGCCTACTAGGGATCCCCCTCCCCACTACACTCACAGCAAGGATTCCCTGTTGGGTGATGAGAAACAAGGGGATCAGGAATTGTCGGATGATGAGGGTGGACACCACTCTTCTTGGAGGTCTTTTCAGACCGGCCTTATTGAAGTCCTTACTTTTTAAAGCCAGGACAACTGTTAAAATGGGAGATAAGGGTATCCCAATAGAACCTTCCTTGGGGTTTGACTCCACTGAGAGGCTGTTTTCTGAATCGGTTCAGGAACAGGAGGTTATTCCCTCACCCAAGCTATTCTTAGATGTTATCCAGAGGCAGTGGGCTCAGCCAGCCGCTGTTCCTCCTCCTAGTAATAATGACAAACAGTTGTTCGGACCAGGTCTAGATCTGGAGGAGATCCTCCAATTGCCTACTGTGGATGCCCCTGTCG